ACCCCTAACCCTAACCCTAACCCTAACCCTAAACCTAACCCTAACCCTAAACCTAAACCTATCCCTAACCCTAACCCTAACCCTAACCCTAACCCTAAACCTAACCCTAACCCTAAACCTAACCCTAAACCTATCCCTAACCCTAACCCTAACCCTAACCCTAACCCAAACTTAACCCTAACCTAACCCTAAACCAAACCCCTAAACCTAATCCTAACCCTTACCTTAATTTAAATCGGCTTTCTGCCGCCGCGCTGTTTTAAAGCGCCCTTCTGTCGCCGCGCTGTTGTCACCGCGGTGATGACGTCACGGTGATGACGTCGCGGCTTTAGCGACGTGGTTTTGTCGCCGCTATTTTGATGAGCGCGGTTTTGTCGGGCCACGCTTTACAAGCATCATGACATGACTTTTACGGTCGTAACTTGAAGACTACCTGTATGAATTTAATAGCTGGCGGGTAAGTTGTCCTACAGGTTTGGGGCCACTATCAAGAAGGCATTTTATAGGTATTATCTGGGAAATTCCATGATGGGTCAGGAATGAGTCCAAAAATGAATCATGAAGAATGTTGAAAGAGCTGGTCATACACCACTTAGTATCAAGGACGCAGCTGCAGAAGTAGTCAACAGTATTAAATAACTGGGGGTGCAGATAACTAACCATCTGAACTGCTCTCTCCACACGTGAAGGGTGCAAGCCATCCCCTGCATTTCCTGCATCGGATGAGGAGAGCACATTTTTCTCCTTCTATCCTGGCCATGTTTTACAGTGGCACGATTGAGAGCATTTTAAACAACTGCATCACTGTTTAGTTTGGGGGCAGCAGCGCCTCAGATAGAAAGCCCATACAGAGAGTGGCAAGGACAGCGGAGAAGATTATAGGAAGCTTGCTTCCCGTCATTCAGGATACTGCTTATAAGCGCTAGGTACATGGGGTTCAAAGCATTGTCAGAGACCCCACACACCCACTTTATAGTCCGCTTCTGTTGCTCCCCTCTGGGAGGAGGTTTTGAAGTATTTCTAGCAGGATTTCCAGCTTTGTTCCCTAGGCAATCCATCTAGTAAATTCATAAGATTCGTTTTTCTCGCCATGCACGTGTATATATCCAGACTAGACTGTGTTTTTTCTCTGTGTCATATAATGTATGCATAATTTTATATGTATTTATTTATTTATCTTGTCATGTTTGTGTAGTGTATATTAGAGGTGGAGACTCTTTGAGAGCCGTAGGCAACAAAATTTCATTTTAATGTTTGCCGATTAGTGTACATTCAAAATGACAATAAAGTTATTCTAAGTCTCCAAGTAAGTCTTCCAAAAGTGGTAAAAGGGGTGTCTCTGTTTGCAGGTTGTGTGAAATGACCCTACAAATACATCCAGTTTATCATCACCAGGTTTACTGCCTTTGATATTTGGCCAGCTGATGGGTTCTATGGGATTCTTCCTGGTATTTTGACAAGGAATTTTAGGGAACCTAAAAGTGTGCACATTTTTTTCAGTGTGTGCTGCTATGTGATCCCTTTGTAGGAGTTGAAATGCAAGATGAGACTCAAACTGATTATCAGTAATGGTTTCCTCTTATCTTTGCTACTGGTTCAGAACTGGGAGCCTGTGCATGAACAGATCATCCATGATGACGCCTGGGCGGGTGGACGGAGCCTCCTGCCGCCACCGCCGCTACCGGTTCGCCCAAACTGGGCCGAACCGGCGGAATACCACCTCTGCTGGTTACCCTTCATTTTAGAAGGTGAGATTTTCCAGTTTCAGCAAACCTCCATTTTCTAAGCATTTGGCATGAGGATGACACATTTAAGGGATTTAATCCCCACCTGCACACACAAATTAACTGCTGCCCTAAGAAGTTATCAAAATATTTGACTTATCCGAGCAGCTGAATCCCTTGTTCAATTAGTCAAACAGACCACCAATGAAGGGTTGGGCTGCTCTGCTGTTGACAGTTTAGCTTAAGAGAAACAGAAGGGAAGGTTCATTAATCAAATCTATTTCTTGGCCAAGTCCCTAGCAGAAAGATGTTCCTGGAAGACATGGTCATAATTACCTTGAAAATGCTTCATCCAGTTCGTCATTCATTGCCTTTGTTATAAAAAGAAAGGGGAGGGGAGAAATAAGACTATATAAATCCAACTGAAATGAAAAACTATTCAACTATCACATAGGTTTAACCAAGTGTTTCTTCTATTGTATTTGCAATTCCTTCTTTAAAAGGGAGGGGAACTAGCCATAGGTTTAAAAAATCTACTAGATTTTTACTAGCTGGTTCTAAGATCAGTAGCCCATCCTTCTTTGTTAGGTGATAAGAGGACAACACAGCATATTCATGCTCACAGAGAAGGCATCTGATAAGGTAAACCAGAACCTCTCCAACCACTTTCTGTCCACCTGCTTGTTTTCCATAGAAGTTGAAGAGGATAGGGTGGAGAAGCCTTTGCTTAGTTCCACCTCTCCCGTGCATGGTAGCCCTTGTGGGGCCAAAAGCTACAAAGCAACTTTAGGTAAACTTGCTGAAGGTCTTCAGGGAACTGATGGGCTCTCTTCTGCATTGGACTAATCCAGGTAAATTACAATTCGGTGTGAGATAAAACTATCTAATGATATAAGCCAGTGGTTGTCAAATTTGCAACTTTAAGATGTGTGGACCTCAACTCCCAGAATTCCCCCGGCTCAGGAATTCTGGGGGTGTAAGTCCACACACCTTAACATGGCCAATGTTGAAAAAATACTGATATTAGCAGTTGGACAGAGAAATCAATTTCCCAGAGAAGTGCTTGGCTGCCCTTTGATTGATGGGTTCAAATGGAATCAGAGTAGCCATTTGTTTTGGATCCATCCTTGTTATACTTGCATCAAGCAGGGGTTGGTCTTGATGGCTTGAGTGGTCCCTTCTAAGTCTCAGGGATTCTAACAATGCAAAAGAAAAAATGGTATGCTATTTTTCATTGAAGATCTTCAAATTCCTCATAGGAGATGCTCTTAGCTCTGGATTCCCTGGTCATCACAGATCAGATTACCTTAAAAAAAATTCCTTCTCCTGTGGGCATTTGATCCCCAGAGTCCACCCATTAGTAAGTGCAGAGAAATTGAAAGCAAGAACCATGCAGAGACTATCAGAGAGGTGGGAGAACCTCGCTTGCTCTGGGAATGCCCAAATTACAATGACTAACTTCTCCTCTCCTTAGTCGCGCTGACTGGTGCTCATGCAGTTCAACCCTGAAGCTGACCTGACTGAAGCCATTTGGTCCGCTTCAGGGTTGGCACACTGGAGCTGAGAGATAGGGGGGAGGGAACTGAGAGGGGAACATATAGCCAAAACAACATATTTTCTCTCGAGAACCAAGGACATTCTCACACCTGGTTGGAAGAAGGCGGAGTGATGCCACCCGGCTGCCAGCCTGTTCTGTGATCGGACC